CTGCTCTCCTGTTCCAGCTTCCCCTTAAAGAAGAGAGAATATAAAGTTTTCTGCAGGTTGAATTAGCAGCTCCCTCCATGTGCATTGGGAGAAGAACTCAGCCTGCAGGAATGGGCTGCCAACCTCAGTTGCACTTGAATGGCATCAAGTCATTTCAGAGTGACAGGGTGTATGTCCATGACGTATGGGGTTCACTATGTTTGCGTCCTCCCCACTTGTTATGTTTTGAAAATATTCCTTTCTCTTGATTAGTGCTATGAGTATTTAATCTTAAACTATAGTAAATTAACTGGTACGTATGGGAGTGAAGAAAAGTGTGCTATTTTAAAGTTCTGTTTAAACAAGTTAACCCAACAGAAATTCATTATTTTACCTTAGTATCTATGCCTCTTTTGACCCCCAGGGAAGGATATAAATTTAAACATAGAAAAAGAAAGGAAAGATTTGCAGTTGTTATTTTTGTTAACACACATATCTCATTTTACCTTGAAAATATTTTTCTTCATTATGTCTTTCATTTTCTTTATTGTTGAAAGTATTACTGATGGCCCTTTTGTTTTTTGTTTTTCTATTGACCACCTTCTCCCCACATACTCCTCTCCCAGACTTCACCAATTTATTGTCTGTGTTCATGGGCTATGCATATATCCATGTAAGTTCCCTGGTTAATTGCTGCCCCCAGCCCTCCACCCTTCCCTTCCCTCTGAGATTTGCCAGTCTGTTCCATGCTTCTATGTCTCTGGATCTATTTTGTTCATCAGTTTATTTTGTTCATTACATTCCACACATGAGTGAGATCATGTGATACTTATCTTTCTCTGACTGGCTTATTTTGCTTAGCACAATATTCTCCAGGTCCATCCATGTTATCTCAAAGGGTAAGAGATCCTTCTTTTATATAGCTGCATAGTATTCCATTCTGTAAATGTACCAAAGCTTTTCCCCCCCACTCATTTACTGATGAGCACTTGTGCTGCTGTGAACATAGGGGTGCATATGTTCTTTCTAATCGGTGTTTTGGGTTTCTTACGATATAGTCCTAGAAGTGGGATTGCTGGGCCAAATGGCAGTTCCATTTTTAATTTTTTGAGGAAACTCCATCCTTTTTTCCACAGTAGCTGCACCAGTCTGCACTCCCACCAGCAGACTGCTACAAGAGATGTCTGAGAGGTTGCTGCCTATGGTTTCTTCTAAGATTTTTATGGTTTCACTTTTAGATCTTTTATCCATGTTGAGTTTATTCTTGTGTATGGTGTAAGTTGGTGGTCTAGTTTCATTTTTTTTTTTTGCATGTATCTGTTCAGTTTTCCCAACACCATTTATTAAAGAGACTGTCATGACTCCATTGTATGCTCTTTTCTCCTTTGTCAAATATTAATTGAGCATAATGGCGTGGGTCCATTTCTGGGGTCTCTGTTCTGTTCTTGTGTCAGTACCAGGTAGTTTTGAGAACAGTGGCTTTGCAGTATTACTTGATATCTGGTATTGTGATCCCTCCAACTTTGTTCTTCTTTCTAAAGATTGCTGCAACTATCTCCATATACATTTTTGGAGAGTTTGTTCTAGGTATGTGAAATGTGCTGTTGATATTTCATTTTATTTTTATTAAAGGTAATTTATTTATTTATTATTTTAAAAAATATTTTTATTGCTTTCAGAGAGGAAGGGAGAGGAAGAGAGATAGATAGAAATATCAATGATGAGAGAGAATCACTGATTGGCTGCCTCCTGCATGCCCCCCACTGCGGAGCAAGCCCACAACCTGAGCATGTGCCCTAAACCGGAATTGAACCTGGAACCCTTCAGTCTGCAGGCCAATGCTCTATCCACTGAGCCAAATCGGCTAGGGCGCCATTGATATTTTAATAGGAATTGCATTGACTCTAGAGTGCTTTGGTTATTACAGACATTTTAATGATGTTGATTCTACCAATCCACGAACATGGTATATTCTTCCACTTGTTTATATCTTCTTCTATCTCTTCTCTCAACATCCTGTAGTTTTCTGAGAACAAATCTTTTTACCTCTTTGGTTAAGTTTATTTCTAAGTATCTTATTTTTTTGTTGCAATGGTAAATGGTATTATTATTTTTGTTTAGTTTCTCATTCTGAGAGTTCATTATTGGTATATAAAGATGCCACTGATTTCTGGGTGTTAATTCTGTCCTGCTATGTTGCTGAATTCATTTATTAAATCTAGTGGTTTTTTTATGGAGCCTTTAGGGTTTTCTATGTACAGTATCATGTGATCAGTGAATAATGATAGTTTTAATTCCTCCTTTCCGATTTGGATGCCTTTTATGTATTCTTCATTGTGGCTAGGACTTCCAGAACTATGTGGAGGAAGGGTGGTGAAATCGGGCATCCCTGTCTTGTTCTTGTTCTTAGGGGAAATGTTTTTAGTTTTTGCCCATTGTACGATGTTGGCTGTAGGTTTGTCATATATGGCTTTAATTTTGTTGAGGTATGATTGCTTTATTCCCACTTTGCTGAGAGTTTTTATCAAAAATAGGTGTTGGATTTTGTCTAATGCTTTTTCTGCATCAATTGATATGATTACATGATTTTTGTCTTCTAATCTATTTATGTGATGTATCACATTTATTTGTTTGCAAATATTGTATCAGCCTTGCATCCCTGGGCTAAATCCCACTTGGTCATGGTGTATGATTTTTTAATGTATTGCTGGATCCAATTTGCTAATATTTTGTTGAGGATTTTAGCATCTATGTTCATCAGGGATATTGGCCTACAATTCTCTTTCTTAGTAATGTCTTTATCTGGTTTGGATTAGGATAATGCTGGCCTCATAAAAAGAATTTGGAAGTATTCCTTCTTCTTGAATTTTTTTTTGTAATAGTTTGAGGAGGTTAGGTGTTAGTTCTTCTTTGAATGTTTTGTAAAACTCCCCTGTGAAGCCATTTAGACCAGGGCTTTTGTTTGCTGGGAGATTTTTAATTACTGCTTCAATTTTATCAGTAGTTATTGGCCTATTCAGTTTCTGTTTCTTCCTGGTTGAATTTTGGAAGATTGTATTTTTCTAGGAATATGTCCATTTCATCCAGGTTGTCCAGTTTATTGGAGTATAGTCATTCATAATATTTTTTTTATAATCCTTTGCATTTCTGTGAGGTCAGTTGTTACTTCACCTGTGTTATTTCTGGTTTTGTTTATTTGGGTCCTCTGTCTTTGTTTGTTGATGAATCTGCCTAGAGGTTCATCAATCTTGTTTGATGAACCAGCTCTGGGTTTTGTTCTTTTTGTAATTCATTAAGTTGTAGGGTTAGGTAGCTTATTAAAAGTTTTTCTTGTTTTTTGGAGGTAAGCCTGTGGAGCTATGAACTTCCCTCTCAGAACTGCTTTCACTGTGTCCAGTAGATTTTGGGTTGTTGTGTGTTAATTTTTATTTGTTTCCAGGATGTTTTTAATTTCTTTCTTGATCTCTGTGGTAACCCATTCATTGTTTAATAACATGCTTTAGCCTCCATGTGTGAATGTTCCTGAGTGTTTCTAATTTCATGCCATTATGATCTGAGAAGATGCTTGATATGATTTCAATCTTCTTGAACTTGTAGAAACTTGTTTTATGTCCTAACATGTAGAATATCTTTGAAAATATCCCATGTGCACTTAAGAAGAATGTATATTCTGTAGCTTTAGGGTGAAATGTTCTGAAATGTTGATTAATTCCATCTGATCTAGTGTTTCATTTAGGATCACTGGTTCCTTGTTTATTTTTTGTCTAGAGGTATCCAGTGATTTCAGTGGAGTATTAAAGTCCCTTACTATTATTGTATTGCTGTCGATCTCTCCCTTCAAATCCTCCAGAAATTTTTAAATATATTTGGATACTCCTGTATTGGGTGCATATATGTTTACCAGGGTTATATTATCTTGTTTTGTCGATTTTTTTACTATTGTGAAGTATCCTTCATGATCTCTTATTATGGCTTTCACTTTAAAGTCTATTTTGTCAGATATGAGTATTGCCTTTCCAACTTTTTTTTCCATTTTCATTTGCCTGGAAATTTTTTTTCATCTCTTCACTTTCATTCTCTGTGAGTCCTTTTTCTGAGGTGGGTCTCTTGTAGACAGTACATATATGGGTCATGTTTTCTTATCCATTCAGCTACAGTAGGTCTTTTGATTGGTGCATTTAAGCCACTTACATTTAAGGTTATTATTGATAGGTACTTATTTGTTGCCATTCTTTTCATTATGTCTTTCATTAAGGATGTGTATCACCAAGTTTGTTCTGGAAAATTCGCTTTGACTCCTTTGTAAAGCTGAAATTTTATTTCAAAGATTCAGTCAAGGAAGATTGTTATTCCTCTCAAGCAATGGCTTCCCAAGGGGCCACATGGGAACTGTCCTCCCTCACTGGGGGCAGTATTTGATTCCTACATTGTTTAGAATTGCTGGTTCATGCTGATGATAAAAAGAAAACTGGATTTTTCTCAGTTTTATTATTGTTCTTAGACTTTCTGCAGACGAGGCACTAGCTTACTTACTACCTCTAGGATGGAACACTTCCATCTCTCCCCAGCCCCCTCGCCTTGGTATACAACTGACCTCAAGTTCTCTTCTCTGGAGTTGAAGGCTGACTAAAATGGCATTAGAGAAGAATTTTATGATCTAAACCAAGTGGCCACTGTCTATGGCTTGCAAACCAATTCTGGCCCTATGCTTATTTTTGTAAATACAGTTTGTTTATTATATTTGTTTGACATTTTATCTTTGACTGCTTTTGCACAACCACAGAGTTGAGTAGCTGGAACAGAGACCATTTGTCCCTGAAAGCCTAAAGTATTTACTATCAGGCCATTTACAAAAACATTCCCTGACCCTTGATCCAGAAGCAAAGCATTGCTTCCTTTGTGGCCATGTAAGCAAAACAGTTATTTCACATTCATATTATAGGGCCATAATTTACCAAGTGTCTTGCAACATTATATTACCTGCTAATTTATGTGTGTGTGATTTTGTTTTTGTTTTTTAGTTCCTGCTATGTGGATATTTGTTAGCAATGACTGATGTGGAAACTACATATGCAGATTTTATTGCTTCGGGAAGAACAGGTAGAAGAAATGCAATACATGATATCCTGGTTTCCTCTGCAAGTGGTAACAGCAATGAATTAGCCTTGAAATTAGCAGGACTTGATATTAACAAGGCAGGTGAGTTGTTTGATACGCGTCTCTCTATGAACATAGAATGATGTCAGCATTTCACCAAGTCGGATTAAGGCATGACAATCCATCTTCAAAAGTAGTCTATAGAGTTATAAACAGTCTAACGCAGGATAAAAGTCAGGGACTGATCTCTTATTCCCACTCCATTTTCAATGACTTCTCTTTACAGGGTTTCCCACTCAAATGCTCTACAATAATAACAACTATATACTGGCAAACAAAATATCACTAGCTAAGAATTGTAATTCTTGAGTATTTCAGCTTCTTTTAGTTTATACTCAACAATATTGCTATCCCATGTTTACCTTGATATCCTGCTTCATAGGTCAATGCTCAACCACTGAGCCACACCTGCCAGGCAGTCCCATGTTTACCTTAACTTGTTAACAATCACCTATTTAGCCATTTATAGCATTGTGCTAAACCCAGAGAATTGTCCCCAGAAACTCTAGAAAAGTCACCTAGGAAGTCCCAAACACCATGGGGGTCAAATTCTTCATCTTGTATTTATGCAACAAGTTTCATCTTTAAATATTTTACTCCCTTGCACCTGCCCTAATCTGACTTCATTCCTTTGGTTACCAAGAACTTCTCCTTTTTATCCAGTTCTTGTTGCACGCTAATCTACACATCTTAGTTCCAGGACATCTGCACATCTTGGGCGCTTAGTTATTGCTTCATGAGGAAAGTAGTGTATGAGAATGATGTATAATGTTCTTGGGACCCCTTTAGAACGGAATTACTTTTTAATGTAAAAGAACCACTTTTAATTTCCCTGAAGTATGGTATATGGTGAGATGTTTTGTGTGTACTTATTAAGACTACAGGATAATTCACTTTTCAACATTTCCACCTAAAGAATGGATCACCCCGCTTACCTCTAACCATTTGAATTATGATAGCAAACATTGTTATAATTTACATGATTGCAACATCCCCAAATATTTTGTCCATGAAGTCATATTGGTTGCTTAGTAATGAACTACCACAAGCAAATATATGTATCTTTGAGTAAAGGATTGCCTACCGCTTGCCCTCAGGTGAAGTGACCTATATGGAGAGAAAGCATAGTTTAATTTCAGAGTTTGCAGCATCACTAGCTGGAATTGCTGCAGAGGGTGCAGTGAGGAGGGTGGTTTTATTGGAGTTCTGTGCGTGTTCTCCAAGGGCAGGCCGCGCCATCACTGCTGTGTGACAAGAGACTGACCAGCTGGCATAATGTCCTTTCATCTGCCACGGTTGCTTTTAATGTAAAGTAATGAAACCGCTGAGAAATCAGCTGGGGTTATCATCAAGTGCTCTAAATGATGTAAAATGCATAAAAAAGTCTTAAATTAAGAAAGTCAGGAATAAAAAGGGAAGCTTGCTCCCCACTTCTGATTTCGGCCTAAAGAACTTGTGATTTCTGGCCCCCATAAGCCTTCTAAAAATGAGCACCAGGACCTGGGTGTGAGATTTCCTAGTTACTTACCAAAGGCGCACAAGATCACTAACCACTGTGAAAATGCAGCTATTGTTTTATTTTTGAGCCAGGCTGTACCAAGGTCACAGATCCAGAATTAGCCAGCCCACTTAAGCTGTTTTCTTGATGGATAATTAATTACCAAGAAAACACACTTTTCCTATGAGGAGTTCAGACTTCGGGAATATTTCTTAAATTCCCAGTGTGATATGCCTAGGCCGAGAGCGGGTAAATATCAGCGGTGGCTTTTATTTTGCCTTCATCCTGTGTTCCGTTGTCTCTTGCAGAAGGTGAAAAGGATGCACAGCGGAGTTCGACAGAACAGAGTGGGGAAGCTGAGGGGGAAGCAGCCAAACCCCAAAGCTAACAACACCCCGCGTTGATCTTCCTCGGCCTGACGATGTCTCAGGTCTCCGGGCCTGGCTGGAATGCATTCGTGTCCACGAGGGACAAGGGGAGAAAGGAAATGGCTGTGCCGCCCGGCAGGAATCTGCTCGCTGTCCCGTTAGACATGGCGGCAGAGGCTCTGGCCGCAGACAGACCTTTCTCCACCTCTGTCCTTAGCAATGGCTGAAGTCACGTGGCTTGTGTCTGGATGTCACCTTGTACGGATCCGTGCACTTGACCACATGACGAAATGCTTGTAGTCGGTAGCAGCAACCTACGTGATGATTCTCCCCGTAGCATCTGGCCCCTCACAGTGTCAGAGGATTTAATTGTGTCTAATTGCAAAGGGTTGGTTGATCCCAGAGTTTAAGTATCTCTGGCCCAAGTATTCACCCAGTAAGAGAACTACCCAGAAAGCACTGTTTTTAGCATCTTGTGTCCGTGTGTTCCTGCTGTGTGACTTACACTGTTTTGTATTGTATAATATAGATGCTCGACACTGCCCCCTTCTTTGATTGCTCATGAAAAACAAAAACAATGTATGTTACTGTGAATTTTTATACCACTCATTTTTATAAGGGCTGCCATCTTTTCTTCTCCATAGTGTGGTGGTGTATACGGGATAGAGCACACTTCCTTTTTAAAATTAGTCTTCCCCCTTGATTCACGGCTGAGGAATCGACAAAGACTAACAGATTTATCAGGACGCCTTTGCTTTTATGAGGCCAGAATTTGGAAATATCCATTAATGTGAATATTACCTGAATTCAATTTGTTTGGTGTCTGCACAGACCAGAATTCAATCTGCAAATTTTGTTTTATTCCCAAGTGCAGAACTTTTCCCAACTAATACTTTTATTTATAATTATAAGGATTTTGGAGAATGAGGAAGGTGGGAAAGAGAAGCCAGGATAATACTAACAACTAGAAATGTTTTATTCTTATGGAATCAACTTTCTCACAATGCTGTATGCTACTGTTCAAATATTGAAGACAGCTTATCTCCAGGGAGATGAGAAAGATGGAGAAAATGATCTCTTTGCAATTATGTGGACACCAATCACAAAAGTAAAGCCCTCGTGTTGTGTTTTTCTTGTCTTTTCTCAGCCCTACCAGATCCAGATGTTATTATGCACTTTTTAATGTTTCTAAACTTTTACTAATAACTAGTGTGAATTGCATTCTGATATAATCATCATTATCATCATTAGAAGCTAACAAAATCCTCATTAATACTGTTGATGGCCTCAGCTATGTTTTGACATCATGGTTCTTATTTAGAAAGTTTCTGCGAGCAGTGTAACCCCTCTGGTCAGTATTAGGAAGTCATTTGTCAGTGGTAATAAATAAGGACCCAGTAATATGCCATTGGCTCATGAGTTACTGGACAACAGGGAGACCTTTTATGACAAAGAGCCCACTTAACTCTCCTCGAGGTCTCAGTACAGTCCCCTATGAAGAGGGCTAAACAGCATTTCAACAGGTAACTCTATGGATATACCAGGAACTCAGCCTTCCTTTGTATTTGCAAGCAGGATGAGAGGTTAAGCCTGTCCTTACCACGCCGCCCTCACCCCCTAACAGTACTTTTCAAAGGAGAGGGATAAAGGCATGGGTATTGTTTGGTCCTCAATCATAGATTCCTAGAAAAAATGTTAATAGTGTGACTCACTCAGAAAATAGAACAATGAGCTTCCAGAGGACTTTCTTCTATCTAAACCATTAGGGTCCAAAATGTCCTCTTAAAATTCAAACAAATCTACCTGTGAATGGACTTAAGTGGGAAAGAGGCTATTTTAGACAGTCATTGGTAGTCCATTTAAAACACCCAACCCATAAAACCTCCTTTTCAATATCCTCATTTACTATCCTCCTAGTTTTCTTGTGACTCTAGGTTAGGTTCTCTTCACCCCTCAAGTTGTGGGATTCCACACTGATTTTGTGTGATTTTGTAAAGTGTAGGACTAGTGCTGAGTATTTATGGAGGGTTGATATTCCTATGTGATACACTATGATTAATGCATGTGGTGTCCTGCCTGTCTTTGAATATATAATAGTGCTAAACCGTGAAGTCATATGGAGCTTTTGAATTATTTTGACCTCTTACTGCCACTTTGTCTGCCGTATTCAAACCCAGAGGCATTCCCAAGATGAAAGATAAAAATCCACTTTCCAATACATCTCCTTTACACATGTTACTCAGCAAAAGTTCACAATATCTTCCAGATTTTATTATAATATCTTTGATGTGCAAATCAATAATACACAAGGAACTGCATTTTTAAGGAGAGAAGGAAAGGGTAGAAAACAAAGGCACTGGTTGATAATACACAGTGAATGCCCATTAACTAACCAGCATGCTTCCCAGCACATATTCTCCCATTTAATCCTCAAACAATTCAATTGAAGAGGTAGTGTTATCACAGATTAGCAAAATAAGGGGGAACAAGATATAACTTTTCAAAGCTTAAGAGGCTATAAATGTTGAGATTAAGATCTGCACCTATCTTTGTCTGTCTAGAAGGAGCTTTCTCCTGCACAGTCATAAAACAAAGCCAGGCAGGAACGTTTAGAGATGGGCGAGTTGACCTCCACATGTTAGAAAAGAAAACCGAGTTCCAGGAAGGGGAATTGTTTTCCTCAAGGTGACCTATGTAATGACAGAGATGTGTCTACATCATGGAAAGTGTACTTTTTAAAGAAAGAAATTAAATTAGCATTTATTTTTGTGTGTGTTATACTTTCCAAAAGTTATTTTTCTGGCATGTAGTCTATAAATTTAGCATGGGTCACATATTTTTTATGTCCCATGCTACCCATTTGGCTTACCTAGAAATATGACAATTTCAGTTTTTTGATTCATTTGCAACAAGTGTGAACTTACTAAATTCAACTTTTATCGATTGTGAGCCTCCTATGCCAGCATGTAGTTATCATAATTCATTGACATATTTTACCAATAGATAACAGGTATCCTTCGATTTGGGGGCAATACCCCAAGGCTGCCCATGGCAGTGCCCTACCCTCGAGTCTTCCTCAGACCCAGTGGAAATGCATTGTTTTAGAGCAGGAATGACACTGCTATTTCTCTTCAGAGAAGCAATAAAAGGTCAAGAAATGTAACTGCCTGCGGATAGCAATGCTTTGTGACACCTGTAGTAATAGGGAGAAAATGTATAGTCATTGAGTGAAAACAGGAAAGGATCTATGATTTATGGTGTCTCCATAGGCCCTCAATTGTACTTTAATTACAAGTGGCAGCCTCTGAAGTCATTTGTGAGCTTGTATGACTTTTGTATTTAGCAATGTTGCATGCTCACATAATTGCTATTAAAAGTAATACATTTTTCTGAAACGTACAGCCTACGAAGAGTATTTATTGAATGCACGCACGCCAGGTGCTTGAGAAAGTGCCGAGGGTGATAAAGGAGAAACACAAAGCCTCAGCCATCCTGTGGTGGGCACACCCCCATTCCAGCCGCACCTTTTCCCGGCCTTTACTGCAATTATTTTTTTACTCCATTCCACCAAGGGAGCCTGCTTCCTGGATTTATCATCTACCAGAGCCAACTCTTACATCCTAAGCCCCAACATCACTCCTGTGATTCTTACTTGCTCATCTGCAGGCAGTAATTTAATAACAGAAGAAAGACGGGTGTTTACCACACTCCCTCCTCCACCAGCTCACATGTGGATTCATTCACTCACAACACTCTCTTCCCTTGAACGCGGTCCTATGCAACTTTGCTATCTTTCCTCCCACCCTCACTCCCAGCAACTTGAGAACCAGAGATCTAGAAGAAGTTCAAGTTTCCCAGATGCACCTGCCCTGTTCACTCCACCGAAAAGCTTTAAAATACAGTGCTCACAGACACCCAGGGCCTTACTATATTAGAAGTAAAGTCTTGGCATAGAGGAGCAAAGAGAATTTAACCTCTTTTATCTTGCTGTTGCTCTCTTTTCATCATTTTCCGCACATGCAGGCAGTAAAGACTGAGCAGAGACTAAAGTGGGATGGACTCTGGAGAAAGCCAGCATCACACAGCACTCAGCCCGAGTCCAGGGGAAGTCTTGAGCCAAACAGGGCAGGTATAACTGTAGATCTTTCAGTTCATCTTACTGAGGGCACAGGATAAAACACTACATAGGGCCGTGGGGCAAACTGCAACAGTGCAGCGAGCCTGCACCCCCTCCAGTGTCTCTTCTCTTGTATATATTTTTGCATCTGTCTGGTCCAGGACATGGGGATTTGGGATCCTGGCCAGCTCTCATTATTAAGTCAAAAAGAACAAAACTATCTGACTACAACTGGTTAACTGTGGACGCATCCCATATCCTGCCTAAGATTTAAAACCTCACCTGAGGTTTTAAAATCATATTTTCTTTCTGACCTTAGTAGTTCTGTTAATTATCCTTTACTCTTCACTGACTTTGCCCTTTTCCACATATACTCAAGTTCCCCTCTTTCCTTCACCACTTATATTTCTCAAAATAGTAATCTATGCGTTCTGTCTTCATGCTTCTCCTCCTTATTTCTTATCTTTCTGCATTTTGACTTCCAATTAAAATGTTCTCATTACGAACGACATCTGCGGTAACGCCCAGACTCTCAGTAATTGTCATTGACGCCCTGGCCACTGTGGAAATGAAAAAGAGATGATGGTACAGAGGACTCAAGCTTTACCTAAAATAAAATTTAATGATTTTATCATTTTAATTGATAGCTGCGTGACTGGATAGAGCTAAATAACAAAGTCTTCTTAAGGAAGGAATCTACATGTCCCAAGAAAAAGTCCATTTGCTCCTCCAAGTTCACATCTTCCATCAAATGTGGATGTGTCCTTTCCCTTTGCCCACATTCTCCCCATGTTAGGTGGCTACAGCCTCAGATCTTGCGGTGCTCATCTCTTCATGGGGCGGTTGCCATGTGTACAGGCTCTAACCGGGATGCCGGGCATCTAAAGATGGGCCTGTTCTCTCCTGGTGTTTTTGAGTTCTGTGTTCTATTGAATTCTGGGATACCTGCCAGCGATACATCACTAGTTCCTCTCAACAGCAGCCACGTACAAGCAAAAACACCCAACTTCCTGGCCCCAGTCTCACTCCAGTTTCTGAATGAGATCTAAACAAGCATAGCAATCCCAATGGCTCAATATATTAGAGCGTTTATATACGTTTTACTAGCCTACCCTGTGGCATATAATTCTGTTCACTATGGGACCTTTTTTTGAGATGCTTCATTTGCCTTCCTATTTTTCCCCTTACTCCCCCCCAGATAAGTTTGTTGTTGTTGTTCCTTTCTTTTGGGCAGTTTCCCACTCTTCTTGACTAGGTCCTCCTTTTCTACCTCCCCACTAGCTACTGTGGTTCCTTCCCTGGGGTTCCATTCTTATTTCTATTCTCCAATCCCACTCTTCAGATGACCTCTTCCACTCCAACACCAATGGTCACCCTATTTACATGATCAATCCACATCTTCATCTCCAACCCAAAGCTCACTTCTGACCATCTGACCTACTGGATAGATCAACATGGATTTCCCAAAATTATCTTAATATTAAACATTCTGACACTAAATCCAGTAAACGATGCCATTCTTCATATGTGTTTCTTCATATGCTACAGGGTTCATATAACGGCAGCACTGCTTTCCCAGCAACCTCAACTCAACATTCTGAGTTTTCTTAACTCTTCTTCCTCCACTTTTTCCCCCCAGTCCATCAATTCTGTCTTAGCTACTTCTTGAAACAGCCCACTTCTTTTTGTCTACACTTCAAACTTTTAAATCATCACTTAGCTAATATAATACAATAGCCTGCTTGCCAGGGCCTACCTCATTTGGCACACTTTCTATCTGTCTTGCAACCAGATGTATCTTTCTAATGCATAAGTGATGATTTCATTCCTCTATTTAAAAAAATCCTTAAGTTTAGCCAGACAAAATTTTTTAATATGTGTCACATTTTATATTTATGTAACTTTGTGCTCTGTGTTAGCTATTTTCCTGTTCATAACATCTTCATGCTTATTGGCAAATTCTCATTGATCCTTTGAGAATATGTTTTACCTTTTTCTTTGGAGCCTTTCTGAATTGCATTCCCACTCCCAAGCCCCGCCCTAAGAAATTAGCTGTTCTATACTCCTTGTTCCCCTAATATTTGCTAGATCACAACTATTTGTTTACATGTGTGTTTCTTCAACTTAGAATAAGCTCTTTGTATCTTCATTGTCTATTAATACTCAATAAATATTTGTAAATGAATGCCTGTCCAACTGAAGCTCACAATATAGCTACGAGACAGAAATCACACACAAATTAAGAGAAAATGCAATTCAGAGATAAAGTTGATAGGTGAAAATAGTGAAGACTGTATAATATTGCACTATGAAAGGCAACTTGATTTCTATCACTCTTTTATAGTTTATGCCAGAGTCATTATTTTTAAATTTGATTCTCAAATTGTATGCTGCATGTTTCACATACACACAGAGATTTGATATGACTTATATAGATGAGATGTCCAATAGGATAATGTATAAATAAATGAGCCAGTCAATGCAAGCCTGATAAAGGTATTTCTTAGCATTCCGTAGTGTGAATTCCCTTCAGTTTGCTGGACTTGAAAACAGCTAAAAGAAGGAGATTGTATCTTAGTCCCCTGGCCTAATTAGCACATTAGCCAGACAAGAAGATTGTGGAGACTTTTGTGGTTACTGAACAAGAGGATAGTGGAGTTACTAAGAATATGCTTTACAGAAATACACCCTAATTTACTTTAATAGCCTAAAGAAATGGGAGTTCTGATAGAACATGATGAACTTCAAAATGACAGGAATCCATGGGGAAAATAATATGAAGAGACTAAGAAATATATTTTTCTATACTCAAGAAAGGATACTAACATATATGTATAGAACCTGAAAATCTTTGTCCTGAATATTGCATCTATAGGAAAACACAAAAAATAGTGGCAATGGAAATAACACTGGAAATCTAACAGGACTAAAGAAGCATTGTGTGCATTTTGACTCTGAAACTAAGAAATAAGAATGTTCAAGTTCATGATGGAGGTTCTCCCAATAGAACACAAGTTTGCACTTGGGCTTCCGTGAGTCACTGTACACATTTCATTGAGTAGGACGATATGACTATTATAACTTTTTACTCAGATGATTCCCAGGCCTTTGTAACACAGAACTGGGAAAAGAGCTCTAGACACAGGTCAGAGTGATAAGAGAAAAAGATTTTTTATGAAGAATCAGTATCAGAGTTGTTCTTCATTAAGGACAAACGAAGTAATTGTTCAAGCAGATTAAAAAAAATTTTTTTTGCAAGTGAACTATATTCACATTGTAAAAGGGCAAAAAATTAGAGGGTGAGAAAAGCAATGAACCTAAGGTTTCTAAAAGAAAGTTTGGGAGGGTTGACAAGTAAGAGATTTCAATGAAAAAAATAGTCAAAGATAATTGAGGAGAGAAAAGAGTATTTTTATAGGGTATTAACTAGACCTTCTTTAACATTCTTAGAGATATATGCATACGTGAGACTTTTGAATGTGGTTCCATACAAAGACAGGGCCATGTGACACCTTCAGGTTTATTACCGTATATTAATTTAATAGTAATGGTAAGGCAAGTACATACATATACAGGATGTCCCCAAAAATGTATACAAACTTTTTTCTGATAGTTCAATTGGTGTATAGTTCTTTTCAGATTTAATCCATTAGAACTAATAATTATTCAAAGTATATATACAGTTTTGGGACACCTTATATATGATAAAGGTCTGACTCTGATGAGCAATAACAGATGAACATGAAACATGGCATGCAGATTCTGGGAGAGAAATACTGCTCAACAAGAACGATCATGGAGAAGGATACACTGGAATGATGTCTTGAGATGTTTATTTCATTGAAGAAACAGGTTAGACATTCTGCATTAAGAAAATGGCATAACTTGAGGTACACAGGTAGAAAAACATGGGGTCATATATTTTTTCAAATAATGCAAGTTGGCTAGAGCACCCTATATGAGTGCTAAGTCCAAGGAGAGATGCTGGAGCAGGTGGAGGTGTAGAAACCTGAGACCCTAAGGAGGACCTGGGAGCCTCGGGAGCTGGTGAAGGTCACTGAGGACTCAAGACTGTGCCCAATAACCTGGCCACAGTGGGCAGAGCAGCTCCAAGAGCTCACTCCCGGTGAAGACTATGGGCATCGGGCAAAGTCCTGGGCACAAAGACCCTAAGACACATGACGTCCCTGCCAAGGAGCCGAACATAGAAATGAAAGAATTCTGAAAGTGAGAGAGAAGTGTTTGAAGATGGGCTAAGGGCTTTGAGATGAAAGGCCACACAAGGACTTATTTCAAGGTTAAGACTCCAGGAGCTAAAACCCCCAATGTCTGAGGGAATGTGAGAAGCAGCAGAGATGCAGGCAGCTTGTGCACACAGGACCCTCCCTGTCAAAGCAGCTGCTGCTGTCCTTTACCCACGCTTGCTACTGGTGCGCAGATGCACTCCTCAGTTTTACAGGCGACACATGTCCCTGCTGACAACATATATATCTTTCATACAGCTCCACAGGAAGGGGGTCGAAGACTCCTTGATCTTTTCTCAGGGTGACAATAACTGTCAGGTTCTGAACACATTTGGATGCTTGAATATATTACCTCCATTCCTCACAATTCCTCTGAAACATGAGCACACGTATCCCCTTATAAGTGATACGGCTCAGAGTGTTCAAGTGCTTGTCCAAGTCCTTGCAGTGTGCAAGTTGCAAAGCCAGGACTGAAACCGACATCCACCTTCTCAGGTGACAATTCCCATGCTCTTTCAACACGCCAGAGCTGTCCAATCAAACCACAACGCAAGCCAAACATGACACGTTATGGTTTCTAGTAGCCACGTTGATATAAAAAGAAAGTAGTGAAATAACCCAATGTATATATAAAATATTGCCATTGAATATATAATCAATATGAACATTACACATTTGAGAGTATCGATTCTTCAAAATCCAGTGTTTATTTCATACACAAATCAGACTAGCTACCTTTCAAGTGCTCTGGTTAGCACATTGCACTGGGTTACCAAGTATTCAGCAGAGAAATGACTCACTTTTGGGGGATGGGGGTACAAAGTGTGCATGTGGGTGTACAGTCCTTTGTCAGTGATTCTCAACTCAGGCTGCCTGTCAGCATCACCTGGAAAACTTTTCAAACATACTCTTAAGAACTGAGCCCCATCTCTACAGATTTTCATTTTATTATACAACAAGGCCCAGGCATCAGTGTTTTTTAAACTTCATTGAAGTGTAATAAGTATTTAAAAGTGCACATAAATGTGCAGTTTTCTGGATTTTCATAAAATCAATAGACCTGGGTCATCAGTATCCAGATGTAGAATCAGAATATTCCAACCCCTTGAAGCCCCTGCCAGGTTCTCTTCCAGTCACCATCCCCTGCCAAGGTGAAGTGGTGGATCCCCATCTGTTCTTCCAGAGCAGGCCCTGGAGGTCAGCCCAGAACTGACACCTAATACGTTAATACCCATTGCAGCTTGCTCTTCTGCAGAGTTCTGTTCTCGAGTTTCTTAGGTCAACTTGTAGTCCCAGAAATAATAAACACATGCCAATCCATCTGTCTTCCAGTGGCTCTCTACTCAAGAAAACACAGGTCTTTCAAACCTCCATGTCCCCTGGTCCATGCAGGTCTGACCTCCATTCAGCCCTGGACCTCCAAGCTGGCTCCATCTCCTTCTTGGCTGCATAATCCTAGGAAGTAGGTCTTCTCCCTCCTTCCCTCAACTATCTACCAATTTTCTTACTTGAGTTTTACCTCCCTCAGTATCCGCAGATCAAATAAGTAACAAATTTGCACAGTCAGTAACACAGATTCCAACTTCCTGCTGAGCAGGCTTTTATATAAATCCCAGGCTTACAGCTTTTCCTTGGTACTTAATTCCCCAACCATTTGTTTCAGCCCTTCCCATTACCACTCTGATCCTCTGATCCTCTAAATTCAATTCGTTGGAAATAGCATTTTTTCTTCCTGTTGGTCATTTACCTTCCTCAGATGTGAGTGATTTAAAATATTCTAAGAAAATTCAAATAGATGTCTTCAACAGATGTCCCCTCATTGAATTACAAAGGGGGAAAATCATCAATTTAAACACTTCCTAACTCCGGCCAACCTGATCAACAGAAAAGTAGACCGAATCTTTGAGCCCCATGCTACAATGAGTCCTGAGGAATAAAGAACTCCTCTGTGTATTAAATACCAAGCAATATTTAGCCTGCCATTTGTGGAATTGCGATTGCTTCACAGTGTTTTTCCCCCGCTCCCAGAACAATGTTGTATTGTACTTACAGCCTAGACAAGAATACTTGAATAAGTCTGACTGCAAAGACAGCACTTGCAGTTGGAAGAAGGAAAACATGGCCATCGGTGCTCTCCCTTCACGGTTCAATGTGACAATATCCTAACACAGCTGTCTCCTTGACTCCATCCTACTGGGCTGTCTTGTTCCTCATTTCCCACTTGAGCGTCTTCACTTCCTTTGATTCCTCCCCTCCTACATATCACTACTTCCCTCCATTTGATCGCTTCATGATCCTTTTAACCCTCAGGGATACCCACTCAATTGCTTTCCATTCTCCATCCCCTAACCCAGTGGTCGGCAAACTCATTAGTCAACAGAGCCAAATATCAACAGTACAACGATTGAAATTTCTTTTGAGAGCCAAATTTTTTAAACTTAAACTATATAGGTAGGTACATTGTTATTAACTTAATTAGGGTACACCTAAGGCTTAGGAAGAGCAACACTCGAGGGGCCAAAGAGCCGCATGTGGCTCGTGAGCCACCGACCATGGCCCTAACTCCGTGTTTCTCCCTCAATCCCTCTGCCTAGGACTTTCTTCACTCTGCTCAGCCACAACCTAACTTTATGTAGGAGGGGGAAAACAAAAAAGGAAAGGAGAGCCATACCTGAGCTTCTCAGATCAATCTGAAGTTGGCAGGAAGTATGGAAATAACCCCTGGATATTGGCGGGAAGAGAGGCCTAAGAGAAAGTGAAGGGGAAGAATGCATAACAAATACTGGCGGTAAGAGTAATTTCACCTCGATCACTACAGAATTCCACTGAGTCACGTTTCAACTATGAGAAAGGGGCAGAGGCTACTCAGTGCCACCAATTGTCACCAGCACCAGAAGTCAGAACTGTTGTAAGTTCCCCAAATGTCAGAGAGACAATTTGA